AGTTTCCCTTTCGGTATGCTAACCTTTTGGTTTCGGTATCCCTCCTCGAGTTCAATAACCCTTCTTCAATCAGGTACTCAAACACCAATACACTGTGGTCGCTCATTCCTACTGGGTCCTCAAAACTGATTTCTCTTATGTCAGAGTCGTTCAGGGTGAAGACCAGGTCGAGTCTCGCTGGTTCGTCATTTCCTCTCATCCTTGTGGGTTCACTGACATGCTGGGTTAAGAAGTTTCTAGTCGCCACCTCCAGTAGTTTGGCTCTCCACGTATCCTCGCCTCCATGCGGTTCCTAGTTCTCCCAATCAATCCTGCCGTGATTGAAGTCCCCCATGATGAGCAGGTGGGATCTATTTCTACAGGCAGAAGAGGCTGCCCTCTCAATTATAGTGTTAACTGCAATGTTGTTGCTTTCGTACTCTTGACTGGGTCTTCTGTCATTTGGTGGAGGATTATATATTACTGCTACTACTATCCTTGGTCCTCCCATTGTCATGGTGCCTGCTATGTAGTCTCTGAAACCCTCACAGCCCGGGATAGCCATCTCCTTAAAATTCCATTCCTTTCTCATGAGTAGGGCCACTCCTCCTCCTCCCCTACCTTCCCTCTCTTTCCTTATTACTGTGTACTCCTGGGGAAACACGGCATTCGTTATGATTCCTGAGAGTTTTGTTTCAGTGAGTCCAATTACATCTGGGTTCACTTCTTGTGCTTCTGTGGGTGTGTGTGTGTGTGTGTGTGTGTGTGTGTGTGTGTGTGTGTGTGTGTGTGTGTGTGTGTGTGTGTGTGTGTGTGTGTGTGTGTGTGTGTGTGTGTGTGTGTGTGTGTGTGTGTGTGTGTGTGTGTGTGTGTGTGTGTGTGTGTGTGTGTGTGTGTGTGTGTGTGTGTGTGTGTGTGTGTGTGTGTGTGTGTGTGTGTGTGTGTGTGTGTGTGTGTGTGTGTGTGTGTGTGTGTGTGTGTGTGTGTGTGTGTGTGTGTGTGTGTGTGTGTACTCACCTATATGTACTCACCTATATGTGCTTGCAGGATCGAGCATTGACTCTTGGATCCCGCCTTTCCAGCTATCGGTTGTTTACAGCAATGACTCCTGTCCCATTTCCCTATCATACCTAGTTTTAAAAGTATGAATAGTATTTGCTTCCACAACCTGTTCCCCAAGTGCATTCCATTTTTCCACTACTCTCACGCTAAAAGAAAACTTCCTAACATCTCTGTCACTCATCTGAGTTTCCAGTTTCCACCCATGTCCCCTCGTTCTGTTATTATTACGTGTGAACATTTCATCTATTTCCACTTTGTCAATTCCCCTGAGTATTTTATATGTCCCTATCATATCTCCTCTCTCCCTTCTTTTCTCTAGTGTCGTAAGGTTCAGTTCCTTCAGCCGCTCTTCATAACCCATCCCTCGTAGCTCTGGGACAAGCCTCGTCGCAAACCTCTGAACCTTCTCCAGTTTCTTTATGTGTTTCTTCAGGTGGGGGCTCCATGATGGCGCGGCATACTCTAAGACGGGTCTCACGTAGGCAGTGTAAAGCGCCCTAAAAGCTTCCTCATTTAGGTTTCTGAATGAAGTTCTAATTTTCGCCAGTGTAGAGTACGCTGCTGTCGTTATCCTATTTATATGTGCCTCAGGAGTTAGATTAGGTGTCACATCCACTCCCAGGTCTCTTTCTCGAATCGTTACAGGTAGGCTGTTCCCCTTCATTGTGTACTGTCCCTTTGGTCTCCTGTCACCTGATCCCATTTCCATAACTTTACATTTACTGGTGTTAAACTCCAGTAGCCATTTCCCTGACCATCTCTGCAGCCTGTTTAAGTCCTCTTGGAGGATCCTACAATCCTCGTCTGTCACAACTCTTCTCATTAATTTTGCGTCATCTGCAAACATTGACATGTATGATTCCACTCCTGTAAACATATCATTTACGTAAATTAGAAAGAGGATTGGTCCCAGCACCGATCCTTGAGGTACTCCACTTGTTACTGTTCGCCAGTCCGACTTTTCGCCCCTTACCATTACCCTCTGGCTCCTTCCTGTTAGGTAGTTCTTCACCCATACTAGGGCCTTTCCGCTTACTCCTGCCTGCCTCTCAAGTTTGTATAGCAGTCTCATGTGCGGTACCGTATCAAAGGCCTTTTGGCAGTCAAGAAATATGCAGTCTGCCCAGCCTTCTCTGTCCTGCCTTATCCTTGTTACTTTATCATAGAATTCTAAAAGGTTTGTTAGGCATGATTTCCCTGTCCAGAACCCATGTTGGTGCTTGTTTACAAACCCAATGCTCTCCAGGTGCTCAACAAGTCTTAGCCTAATTATTCTTTCAAGTATTTTGCAGGGGATGCTTGTCAGTGATACGGGTCTGTAGTTAAGTGCCTCCTCCCTATCACCCTTTTTGAAAATCGGTACGACATTTGCCTCCTTCCAGCAACTGGGCAATTCTCCCGACATAAGTGACTCATTAAAGATCATTGCCAGAGGCACGCTGAGAGCCTGCGCTGCCTCTTTAAGTATCCACGGTGATACTTTGTCTGGTCCAACAGCTTTATTTGCATCCAGTGTTGTCAACTGTTTCATTACATCCTCTGCTGTCACCTCTATATCTGATAGTCTTTCATCTTGGGTAATCTCTTCTAACAATGGGAGCTGCTCAGGCTCGGTTGTGAACCCTCCATGGAATTTTGCATTCAGTACCTCGCAGATTTCCTTGTCGCTTTCTGTATATGCCCCTTCTGTTTTCCTCAGTCTTGTCACTTGGTCATTTACCGACATCTTCCTTCTTATATGGCTATGTAGTAATTTTGGTTGCTTTTTCGCTTTGACTGCAATATCGTTCTCATAATTCCTTTCCGACACTCGTCTTATGTTAATGTAATCATTCCTAGCTCTGTTACATCTAATCCTGTTGTCCTCTGTCCTTTGTCTTCTGTACTTCCTCCACTCCCTCCTGCTTCTCACCTTTCCTCCTGACACTGTCTATTAAACCATGGGTTATTATATTCCCTCCTGCTTTTTTCCTTTATTGTTGGAATAAACCTATCTTCAGCCTCCTTGCATTTCAATATGACTTGGTTCATCATACCTTGCACTGTTTTTCCTCTAAGTTCTTCCTCCCACTGCACTTCTCCCAGGTAGTCCCTTATCCTTCTGTAGTCCCCTTTTCTGTAATCAAGTCTCCTTTCCCGGACCTCTTGTCCTTTGGTCACAATTTTAAGCTCCATCATGTAGTCAAAGACTAGGACACAATGGTCACTAGCTCCTAGTGGTATTTCATGTTCCAACTGCTCTACCAGCTTCGCTCCCCAGGTCTCCTCCCCGCCATGGGGATTCCTCGATGTCTTCTACATTCTGTCTTGATAATGAGATCCTGCCTAATAGGCTGGGCGTATCCCCTCCTCTTTCCCTAGTATCTTCTTTCACATGCTGTGTTAGGAAATTCCTGTCAATAACGTCTACCAGCTTCGCTCCCCAGGTCTCCTCCCCACCATGGGGATTCCTCGTTTCCCAATCTATCTCTCCGTGATTTAGGTCCCCTAAAGGGTTAGGTTTAGGTGTGTGTGTGTGTGTGTGTGTGTGTGTGTGTGTGTGTGTGTGTGTGTGTGTGTGTGTGTGTGTGTGTGTGTGTGTGTGTGTGTGTGAGAGGGCGTGGGCCGAGGGACTGGCTTGTATGGCTTTGAGTGCAACACAGTGCTTTAGAGAACTCCAGTAATCTTACAGAGCCCAGTAGTGCTGTGAAGGTTCCCTGTAGTGCAGTATTGAGTCCTAAAATTACAGTGCGGTGTCAAGTTGTGCAATTTAGAGCGCCAGTAGTGCAGTTTAGAGCGCCAGTAGTGCAGTTTAGAGCGCCAGTAGTGCAGTTTAGAGCGCCAGTAGTGCAGTTTAGAGCGCCAGTAGTGCAGTTTAGAGCGCCAGTAGTGCAGTTTAGAGTGCTAGTATTTATGTATAGAACCCCAGTAGTGCAGAACAGAGCCTACGTAGTGTTATAAAAGTTCTCAGTAGTGATGTATAGATCTACAGTAGTCCAGTATAGAGCACCAAAAGTATTGTATTGGCCCCAGTAGTTAAATATAGAGCGGCAGTGGTGCAGTAGTGTGGAATTTATCTTACCTCTCAACACTTATATCACAACTCAAATATTTTTGCAGAACACACACAGCAACAGCCATAAAAGATTATCCAATTGAGTATTACTATATTAAAATAATTCAAAAGGATCAGATCGTTTGTGTATGAGAGCTGACTACAAAAATTATTCTAGAATGCTATCTACAACTTGAATTTAAGGAAATATAAATAAAAAGATAACTCTAGCTTCTGAGAATTTCTAGAATTAAATACAAATATAATTTCTAGCTCTAAGTCAAGAAATATTGTAGAATACTATGACATGTGGCCCTCTTCTGGGATAATAAGTCATGTAATAGAGGACTGTATACTCTGCCTCTACACACCTGCTGGGAGGTTACACATCAGTACACACGACATCATCAGAGTCCCAACAGTGCAATCATATTTAGCACATTCTTCGACCATGTTGTGATACAGTTGATTAAGGCGCGTCTGGGAACATCCCGTCCATAGGTTCGAACCCTCATCATTGCCCTTGTTGATTTGTACACACCAGTATAATAATTTAAATTTCGATAACATGCAGCGCGGGGCTAGGTCAATGTTCAACACGTAATAACAAAGAATTAAAAGAAGAAATACTTGTGTATACTAGTCTAATTTGTTGCCACAAAGATTGTAATTAGAATAAATTAAATAAAGGTTATATCTATATCAAGGTATTGTGGCACATTAATAATACAGCATTCAGTTCACCTCCTAATTGGTTTGTGGTTAAAACCCAGTATTTTAACCATTGCTCTGTAGAAGAAATGGTTATTGGCATAAGCGATATTTTCGACGTGACATCAAACCAACAAAATATGAAAAGCCACAAACCGTCCCGTATTGGTTTGGTTGTGGCCGGGTGCATCAGTCAACTGTGCTTGAAGTCGATTCAGTTGTCTATCTGTAGGGTTGGGCACAATCTGTAGGGTTGGGCACAATCTGTAGGGTTGGCATAATCTGTAGGGTTGGGCACAATCTGTAAGGTTGGGCATAATCTGTAGGGTTGGGCACAATCTGTAGGGTTGGGCACAATCTGTAGGGTTGCGCACCATCTGAAGGGTTGGGCACAATCTGTAGGACTGGGCACAATCTGTAGGGTTGGGCACAATCTGTAGGACTGGGCACAATCTGTAGGGTTGGGCATAATCTGTAGGGTTGGGCACAATCTGTAGGGTTGGGCACAATCTGTAGGACTGGGCACAATCTGTAGGGTTGGGCACAATCTGTAGGACTGGGCACAATCTGTAGGGTTGGGCATAATCTGTAGGGTTGGACACAATCTGTAGGGTTGGGCACAATCTGTAGGGGGTCGCACCATCTGAAGGGTTGAGCACAATCTGTAGGACTGGGCACAATCTGTAGGGTTGGGCATAATCTGTAGGGTTGGGCACAATCTGTAGGGTTGGGCACAATCTGTAGGACTGGGCACAATCTGTAGGGTTGGGCACAATCTGTAGGACTGGGCACAATCTGTAGGGTTGGGCATAATCTGTAGGGTTGGGCACAATCTGTAGGGTTGGGCACAATCTGTAGGGGGTCGCACCATCTGAAGGGTTGAGCACAATCTGTAGGACTGGGCACAATCTGTAGGACTGGGCACAATCTGTAGGGTTGGGCACAATCTGTAGGACTGGGCACAATCTGTAGGGTTGGGCATAATCTGTAGGGTTGGGCACAATCTGTAGGGTTGGGCACAATCTGTAGGACTGGGCACAATCTGTAGGGTTGGGCACAATCTGTAAAACTGGGCACAACCTGTAGGATTGGGCACGATCTGCAGGGTTGGGCACCATCTGAAGGGTTGGGCACCATCTGCAGGGTTGGGCACAATCTGTAAAACTGGGCACAACCTGTAGGGTTGGGCACGATCTGTAGGGTTGGGCACAATCTGTAGGGTTGGGCACAATCTGTAAAACTGGGCACAACCTGTAGGATTGGGCACGATCTGCAGGGTTGGGCACCATCTGAAGGGTTGGGCACCATCTGCAGGGTTGGGCACCATCTGAAGGGTTGGGCATAATCTGCAGGGTTGGGCACCATCTGAAGGGTTGGGCACAATCTGTAGGGTTGGGCACAATCTGTAGGACTGGGCACAATCTGTAGGGTTGGGCATAATCTGCAGGGTTGGGCACCATCTGAAGGGTTGGGCATAATCTGCAGGGTTGGGCACCATCTGAAGGGTTGGGCACCATCTGTAGGCATGGGCACAATCAGTATGGTTGGGCACCATCTGTAGAGTTGGGTTGGTACGATTGTTTAATTTAATTGGCGAGAGTTTACTCATAGTAAACTCCATAAAAATGGTTAATAAGATAATACTGTGGATATTTTTCACAAGTAGAGTCCACTAATAGTGCAGAATAGAGACCCAGTATTGTAGTACGGTCCCTCCAAAGTGCCGTACATTACCCAATAGTGCAGAACAGATCCCAATAATGCAGTATAGAGCCCCTTCTTTACCCAGTAATTGGGTATAGAGACCCAATATTGCAGTACAGAGCCTCATATGTGGAGTATTCAGCCCTAATAGTGCAGAATAGAACCTCAGTAGTGCAGTACAGAGCCCCAATAGTGCAGTATTAGGCCCCAGTAGTGCTAAATACAGCATCAATAGTGCAGTATAGATTCCCAATAGTGTTGTATAGAGCTCAAGAAGTACAGTGCTGAGTCCCAACAGCGTAATATAGTGGCCAAGTAGTGCTTTATAGAGCCCCAATATGTATAGAGCCCATTAGGGCAGTATAGAGTCCCAATAGTACAGTATAGAGCATCAGTAGTGCAGTATTACGTCCCAATAGTGCAGGACACAGCCCCAGTTATGCTGTATAGAGCTTCGATATTGCAGTATAAAATCCCAATAGTAACATATAGAGTCGCGTAAGTGTTGTATTTAGTTCAGAAATGTCCCATAGAGCCCGGGTAGTACCCAACACAGCCCCGTATATGGTTGTATAAGTCTCCAGTAGTACCTTATAGAGCACCATTATTGTTGTATTATGCCCCAGTGGTCCTGTATAGAGTCCCAGAAGTGCCATATGGGACCGGGTAATGCTGAATAAAGCCCAATAGTGCCATACAGAGCCCCAGTGGTGTTGCATAGAGCTCAAATGGTGCCGTATAGAACACCAGTAATATTATAGCACTATAGTGTACCGGTCAGGCTGTATAGAGCCCAAATGCAAGTGGTGCAACAAAGTACCTCAGTAGTACTGTATAATTAAAGATAATAATGCCATATTGACCTTGCGCACCCTTGGCCCTGGCAACATTGCAAATGTTGCATGCAACATTCTTATGGTGGGGTTCCAATTTTACAGTCAACACTGTAAATGTAAAATATTTACATTTTTACAATGTTGCATCCTGATGCAATTGGCTTGGGAGTAAGAAGGGCGCAGGTCAGATGGAACATGTCTGTGAATGAACATATAAGGGAAAGTGGTTTGGACAGTGTCAGTAAGGTGAACATTTTATACAGTGGAATGTGCTTATGGAGGTCTGGTGAAACTATGGTGTTACACAGTGCAGACTTGTGTTTACAAGGTAGCAAAATAGCAAGGTAAAAGTACATGTGGCTTATTATTGGTTGCCAGTAAGAATAGTGGTGAATGTTTTATAAAAGAGGAGCATTGTGTATCAGATACCGAGGTGAACGAACGTTTAGAGGAAATTTCAAAGTGATTCGGACAATTTCGATAAGGAGGAAGTGAAGTAGAATTAAGAGATCACGTCGTTCAGTGGAATGTACGCATGGTGTTCTCATTAAATTAAGTTTTGCAGAGCTTAGACTTGCACTGCATTCCTTCTGCGAAGCAACATTGTAAGGCTATGTTAAAACAAGAAATAAATAGGCTTAATAAGAGGCGTAGGTGTGGGAGGCGCGTGAGGGCGCCTGCGGTTACAGCTGTGAACGAATGTTTGTAGGAAAATTCCAGTGATTCAACCAGTTTCAGTAAGGAGGATGAGGAATAGTAGATCATTTCGTTAAATGAAATGTACATATGTTATTGCAGTTTTTGTGATGAAATTATGGTTTTTGCAGAGCGAAGAGTTGCATTACTTGTATAACCTTTAAAACACAGTGTTGAGACATGGAGATCAGTTGGCAGTAATGTTTGTTCCGCTTAATGTACTTTGTTCCTCCACTAAGCTCCACGCTTAGTGGAGGAATGAATGGACGGAGTTGATGGGTGTGTGGATGATGGTCGCTTTGGGCAGAGAGATGAAGGCAGATTACATTTCATGAAAATACGATGAATAATAAAAAAAAATAAAACTGTAAACATCTAGAGTCGGATTCAAGAACTGACGTCAAATAATGTCCGTCACACGACACACGTCTAATACACATATTACCCGAAGATGGCCGCCATCCGACCTGAATTTTACCCTAAAACGGGTGACCCCATAGCGACGACCTTTAATCCTGACATTTAAAGGCAGGTATATATTCTAATATACCAGGGGCGGAGACTATAGTCAGGGATGAAACTGAAGCAGAAACTCAGGAAGTTGTAAACTCTGACTCGGTATGCCCGGATGTAGATGACAGTAAACTAGAAAGTGTGACAGACAGCACTGACAGCTCAATAGGTACAGACACTACGACGGTCCCCGATAGAGCGAGTCGGACCAGAAGGACATATTTATGCAAATTTTATGCAAAGGGCATATGCAGACATAGATATGCTGGTAATAAGGAAGGATAAGAATGCAGTTACCAACATCCCAATTTTTTTTTAAATATTCTAAGGAAAGGTGAGTGTCGATTTGGATCAATATGTAGGTTTTTCCACCCTGACACGTGCCAAACCTCACTGGAGGACAGAAAATGCTATGACTTCAGCTGCCCATACTTTCACGTGAAAGGCAGAGCACGCTACATAAAGAGTGGCAAGCAGGATAATGAATTTGGTGGAAACTCGATCAATTTTGTATACCAAACCGAAAGAAAATTCAAAAGGAGGAGCATGGAGAGTGTATGGAACTGGATGCCAGACCCACTTGCATACCAGAATTACAGATACAATTACACACCAAAAGTGACCTACAACTATGAGAGGCAACTGCCCTACAACAATCAGTACTGGTCAGAATAAACTCAATATGTCCGCGCATAATGGGCTTGCCGAAAATGTCTTCCCGTCCAACTATCCCTAACAGAGTATCCTGATTCATCTTTACCAACATACAAGGACTAAAAACAAGAATAAACAACAAAGTACCGTTCATAAATGGCCTCCTCACGGAGTCAAATGCAGTATTTGGAGCTTTCACAGAAACCCATGCAGGGGAATTCTTGGACAGTGAGATCTGGATTCCAGGATATAACCCATACAGGTGTGATAGGAAAATTAGGTCACATGGAGGAGTGGGTCTGTATATTAGGGAAGACCTTATATGCTCGGAGCTCCTTAACGTTACAAATGAGGTGGTAGAGGTACTGGGATTAAATATAGAGAAAATAAACTTAGTGATTATTCTAATATACAAACCGCCAGATGCAACGGCTGAGGAATTCACAGAACAGATAAACAAAATAGAGAATAGCCTTGATAATTTGGAGAACCCGATACCTAATATTATCTTCCTAGGTGACTTCAACTTGCCTAGTCTCAGATGGAGAATAGCAAACAATAATATTATACCAGGAAATCTATTGGGACCTAACCAACCACAGATTAGAGAACTACTTAAATTCTGTGACAAATTTTCACTCAACCAGCAGATATCAGAGCCAACGAGAAATTAAAATATTCTAGATCTGGTCTTTACGAACAATGAAGACATTATCAGGGACATTACGATATCAGATACCACATACTCAGATCACAAGCTCAATGAAGTGCAAACGACCATCAATACTCATAATAGACCTAAAACGTTGATCAAGCACGAGGGGTTATTCAGTAAATTAAATTTTAATAATAAAAGGATAGACTGGGAGAAAATAAGCAGGGAACTTACAAACATTCCATGGGAAACTGTTCTAAGTAATACAAGTCCTAAAGAAGGAATAGAAAAACTGACTTCGGAAGCGTATCAAGTCTGTCTGAAACATGTTCCTTTGAGGAAAGCCAGAAAGAGATCCAACGTAGAAGGAGAACGCAGACGACACTATGAAAGAAGGATTAAAAATAACGGAAATACTTAAGCAGACACGACTTTCCCGTCAAAGAAGGAATAATTTAAATAGGGAGATTGAAGAAATCGAGCGGAAATTGAAACACTCATATCAAACTGAAAAAGGCAGCTAGAACAGAAAGCAATTCAGGAATAAAGAAAATCTAAAATAATTCTTCACATATGCGAAATCAAAAGAAAAACCACTGCCTCTATTGGACCTATTCGTACAAGTGAAGGTTCATACGCGGAGGTTGACCAAGAAATTAGTGAAATCCTAAAAAAGCAGTATGAGGACATGTTTAGCACTCCAATAAACAACATGAAAGTGGAAGATCCAGACAATTTCTTGATGCAGGATATCCAAACCCCTGTAAATATAACTGATATCAATACGAGCGTAATAGACTTTGAAAGATAAATTAAAAACATGCCCATGCCCTCGGCCCTGGGTCCAGATTCATGGAATTCAATATTTATAAAAAAATGCAAAGTGTCGGTAGCACAGGCACTCAGTATAGTGTGGAGGAAGAGCTTGGACACGGGGGAGATATGTTGTTGTTGTTGTTGTTAAAGATTCGCTACCTGGAACAAAGTTCAAAGTAGCACGGGCTATGGTGAGCCCGTAGGGAAGATACCAGATGCACTTAAAGTAGCAGACATTTCCCCTCTACACAATAGAGGGAGCAAAGCATTGGCAAAGAATTATATACCAGTTGCACTAACGTCGCACATAATAAAAGTATTTGAGAGAGTGATTAAGAGTCAGGTTTCATTGGATTGATTAGGAGTCATTGGAGACCAATGACCTTCACAACCCAGGCCAACATGGATTTTGAGCGGGAAGATCGTGCCTCTCGCGGCTACTTGACTACTACGACAGTCACTGAGGCATTAGAAGAAAAACAAAATGCTGATGTGATATACACGGACTTCGTAAAGGCTTTTGATAAATGTGACCATGGAATGATAGCACACAAAATGAAGTCAGTGGGAATAACCGGTAAAGTAGGACGTTGGATACTCAGTTTTCTGTCAAACAGGACTCAGCAAGTAACAGTTAACCATATAAAATCGAGTCCAAGCGCAGTTAAAAGCTCTGTACTTCAGGGTACAGTCCTTGCACCGCTGCTTTTCCTAATTCTCATATGACATATAGACAAAAATAATGTCACAGCTTCGTATCATCCTTTGCAGATGACACAAAAATCAGTCTGAAAATTACCTCAACTGAAGACATTGAAAAACTTCAAGCTGATATTAATAAAGTTTTTGACTGGGCATCAGAAAATAACATGATTGTTAACAGTGATAAATTCCAGGTACTCAGGTACGGTAAAAATGAGGACCTTAAACATAATACAGGGTACAAAACACAATCAAATGTGCCCATAGTAGGAAAACAGCATGTAAAGGATTTGGGAATAATAATGTCTGACGACCTAACGTTTACTGAACATAACCAAGCAAATATTGCGTGAGCCAGAAAAATGATTGGATGGATTACGAGAACCTTCAAATCCAGGGATCCTATGACAATGGTTGTATTCTTCAAGTCACTTGTGTTGTCCCGTCTTGAGTACTGCTCAATACTCACTTTCCCCTTCAGAGCAGGAGAGATTGCTGAAATAGCGGGTATACAGAGAACATATATGGCACGCACAGACGCGATAAAGCACCTAAGTTATTGGGATCGTCTCAAAATTCTCCAAACTTACTCACTAGAAAGAAGACGAGAGAGATATTAAATAATATACACGTGGAAGATACTGCAGGGCCAAGTACCAAATCTACACAGTAAAATAACAACGTACTGGAGTGAACGATATGGAAGAAAATGCAAAATAGAACCAGTGAAGAGCTGGGGTGCCATAGGCACAATCAGAGAACACTGTATAAACATCAGAGGTCCACGGCTGTTCAACACTGTACCAGCGAGCATAAGGAATATTGCCGGAACAACCGTGGACATATTCAAGAGGAAACTAGATTGTTTCCTCCAAGGAGTGCCGGACCAACCGGGCTATGTGGGTCTGCGGGCCGCTCCAAGCAACAGCCTGGTGGACCAAACTCTCACAAGTCAAGCTTGGCCTCGGGCCGGGTTTGGGGAGTAGAAGAACTCCCAGGACCCCATCAACCAGGTCTAAAAACTAACATACGACACTGTCAACCACATGATCCGCCCCTAATTAATATACAACCTTACCATGAACGTCCTCCGTGCCCAATCTCACCCTAAGACAGGTGACACGAAATTGGCCAAAACAATAAATTTTGCGGTATGTGGCCATTTCTTCTACTCCCAGTAATGCCGAATAAAGTCCCAATATTTCTGTTGATATCCCCCCATCATATTCGTAAATAGCCCCAGAAGCTCTGCATAGAGCCCTAGTAGTGAAATATAGAGCCCTAGTAGTGAAATATAGAGTCCCAGCATTGCCGTATAGAGCCCAATAGTTCTGTTTAGTGTCTCTAATAGTGCTGTATAAGACACCTGAAATGTTGTAAAGATTCCCAGGAGTGCCATTGAGAGCCTCATGATGCCTGCATGCCTACAGTGTCGCTAGAGCAGGTGGAGGAGCTGTGGTACCCCAGCCTTGGCTTCATCAACACAGCCGACATCCAACACACAGAGGTGGACCACGACGCCATCACCACCGTCATCAGGCTCCACCACAGCTTCGTCAGGGACCTCTCTAACTCCTACGAAGGTTAGGACGACTTAGGGTCAGGGAAAGGAGAAAGGGTTATATCTATGCTTTCAGAAAACGCAGGGAAAATATTTTGTATTTGAGAAGATAATGTTTATCATAAACTACAAGTGTTTTAAGTATTTATAGTTTAGGTACATAAATACAAATTCAGTAACTAGGAACATTGTTTTAATTTTGTCTCTATAACAGAAAAGTCAAACAGAAAACGGATATATATATATATAATAAAAAAAAGTATTTTGCAAACTTAATTTAATTTATATAACCTATTTTCTTTTGTCCTTGTAAACACGGGTTAAATTTGGTCTTTACAGGAGAGTAATATATTCGCACTATAATAGTTACTTCCATTGTTTATATTGTTCTTAAACTGAGTTGATCATCCTTCCGTCTGTGTTGCTGGTCCAGTGGAGATTTACCAAGGGGACACGAACACCTTGTCTACCACTCGCAAGTACAGCACTATCTTCACCTGCAACTTCGACCTCTTGCTCTATCCCTTCGACATCCAGACGTGCTCCATGCTCCTCCAGATACAATCAGCCTCCACCGACTATCTCATCTTCAACTCTTCAGGTCTGTGGACACCAGAGAGGAGAGTGAGGGGGAGAAAGTGATGGAGAGATAGCAGGTTGTGAGGAGAGAAAGTGAAGGAGGGATATGAGGCTGTTGGAAGAGAAAGTTAAGAAGCGCCAGAATGGAGTTGAAAGAGAAAGTTAAGGAGAGCCAGGAGGGTGTCAGAAATGAAAGTGAAGGAGAGATATTAGGGTGTGGGGAAGAGGCAGTGAAGTAGATATATTAGGGTGTGGGAAGAGATAGTGAAGTAGAGATATGAGGGTCTGGGAAGAGAAAAGTGAAGATATATGGGGGTTTGGGAAGAGAAAGTGAAGAGGAGATATGAGGAGTGTGGGAATAGAAAGTGAAGGAGATATATATGGAGGTGTTGGAAGGGAAAGTGAAGAGGAGATATGAGGGTATTATAAATTGGATAGTAAAACCGCATCACAAATAATGCTACCACTGGAAAGAGAAGGAGGTTATCCTCTGTAAATTAATGAACTCTAGAATTAGAAAATATTAGCTAAGCTGGTAAACTGTGGTAGATGGTGCATATCCTCTCCTCTTGTGGCTTAAAAGTTGTGGGATGAGGACGGTCACACTGACAAGAGGTGCTCTGCTCTCACCAACCTCACTTCAGTATCTAAATACAATAAAGATTGTATAATATTAAATGCAGAAAACGCTGCTAATAAAATGGTTTATTGGTTAGCCTATCTAGGTTTTCAAACAATAATTGTTTAATAAAAATTATTCAGTACAATAACTATCACTGAGGTAAATGAGCTTGTTACAAAGTATATTACTATATATTTCAATATTACAGGTTCAAGAGAAAAGCATAAGTTTTAATGGATTTAGTTTTACAAAGTCTGAAATGGACACAAACCTTCTTTGGGCATTAAGCCCACTTTATGACTGAAGACCTAAATTAGAAACGATTAATAGCACAAATATAATTTGCACAAATACAACATCTGTTATTTTGGTTCCATTATAAATATAATTATAAGTTTAATTATATATAGTTGTACAGTTGTAGTTATATAACATTAATAATAATTAATTAATATTTTGAATATGATAAATACAAAAAAATCTGATGTATCACGAACTGTTCCTTCAAGTTTGGTGCAGGAATTTGGCTGTCCAAATTCTTTTTGTTAGTTTCTTAAGACTTATTAACCAATTATTCACCCATTAACTTACGGGTACTTAATGTTACAGGGAATTATTTATTCTTGTCCGACCTGTATTGTACAGCTTACTCACCCACTTCACCGTGGAATGATCTGAATGTTAGGATCTTCGGCAACTTGATATCCCACTGCTTCACAGTGCACTATGTTCTTTAAAATCCTCGGTAAATCTACTTCATATAATATCTCCTATGTTATTTATGTCTTTCTGCTCTGGTAAAGGAATCCTGAAAAATGTCTAGAAATTCTTAAATATTGTGTAACCTATACCATGGTATATAGCTCAGTGCTATCTTTTGTTTATTACTGGTTTGCTTCCTCAGTTAAGTCATCAACATATATCAGGACCGTGAGGGTTGTAGTGCTTATCCCAGTAGTGCTCTGATGTATATTCCGTGTCCTGATCTCTCTCTTCTCACTCTTACTTTCTCTGCCTGGTGTAAGATAGACATTTGCTCACCCCAGTTCTTCATGATTTTGGCTACTCTTGTTTGCTTTTTAAGTCTCTAAAGTGGCTTCAAGTGTGACTTAGTATTGATGACTGTATGGTAGTCCAGGAAAATGCAGTAAGATCACGATTCCTTTTTATTTGATCAGTATTTTTGGCCTAATACTTTAATATATACCTCTTGCAAAACGTCCCACTTAAGTGAATGCATGTTGTCCTTCTGTTATGAAAAATTGTCATTTACAAGTGCTTCACTTCTCTTCAGTATCTTACCAGACATACCATTCAAGGTACGTGAGTATATATGTGTGAAAACAAAAATATATATTTTGAATGAACTGTTTTCGAAGCGGGCGTACCCCAGAGTAGGGAAAAGAGCTGGACTGAAATTGTAAGCCACTCATAAATCATCTGGACTTCACCGCCTGATCTCCGATTGCCTCTTAGAAAATGTATTGGGTGGGATCGTTTTACCCACGTTGAAAATAGGAGGAAGAACATTGTTTTTTTCATCGATTTCAGACATGGGTTCTTAGCCCATATTCTATCTCTCACAGTCCAATCTTCCCACTCTTAATGATCACTACATTTTCTTCTATAGGAAGAGCGAGAAGCTGTTGATTGTTTGCAGGGGTCTGGCTGAGCTTATCCACAAATGACACTAATACTATTATGAATAATAAATTAAAATAATAATAGGAAAGTATGCTCAGCAAAAGTGTTTGTCTCACGAGCCCATCTGCTCACTGGTAAACGCTGCCGCAGGTTCCTTTGTGGAGTATCTGGGTCCAAAGTTCTTGGTGGAGTATGGCATCGGGAAGATCGACCTGCAGGTGGACAACGACAGACACTACAGCCGGATGAGTGTTCACGTCGAGCTCATCCGTCGCTACGGGTATGCCATGCTCAACATCTACATTCCAACACTCATCCTCCTCGTCATCAGCTACGGAACCCTCTTCTTTAGGCCAAACATTTTCGAGGTGAGTATGTTAACGTGTTTGTTAACGTTAACGTCATTTGTCCCTCTTTGAAGTGAGTAAGTCTACATGATGGCCTGTTTTCGAGGTGCGTAAGTAATGCTTCAGGGTGGATGAACTCGTCAGTTTTAGAAGAATTTATGTCTGTCTGTCCACTTCTAGGTCTATCTTTGAGGTGCATAAATCCGTCCATTGCTCTTGTGAGAAAGCGTTCAAGTAAAGAATGTGTTTGTCGAAGAACGCATTCAACGAAGAATGCGTTCAGCGAGGATGACAAAGTTAATCCTGCAAATAGAAACCTTAAATATAGAAACGGACTAAAAAAGCTTACTTTTGTATTTTCGAGGAAGGGGACGAGTTCGTAAGGAACTTTAATTTAGAACAGATCATAATAAGGTATTAGGTACAATAACACAAAATAGAAAACTAAACAATACATAATAACTTATTAAGTTTAGATTTAGGAACGACCGGGTTAAAATGACTTTCCTGACTCTGTTGTTAGGTTATCAGAGATATCGTTGCTGTGTGTCAAAGGAACCAATGTTTAGTGTTAGAAACCATTCAGCACGAACCGATCGAGTCTATTATGAACTATTATATGATTTACTGTAACCTGTGTACATCTGTGAGACCGTTACCAGTTAACTAAACGCTTTCTAAACTAAACGCTAACTAAACGAAATATTTACGGTTTCCTTTCATTTTTATGTAACACTTCTGTTTTAAATATTTCTCATTCCTTGCTGCTGACTCATGACACAAGAATGAAGGAAACTATGCAAGTCCAATACGAGTCAAATCTACTGTTTCTTGTTGCTTTAGATGCAGCTTCACCGGACAAAATTCCCATGTAGTGGAAATAGTTTTTTTTTGCTTTTACTTTTCTTCATTTTGCTTTTATTTATCTTTGTTACGACCCTGGGTTCCTTAGTGGAAACCAGAGGTCAAAATTGAGCTAAATAAACTTCCTTATAGTATTGGACGCATCGCGAGCTGCATTCATTTGTATCTTTCCTGCCAGACGTAAGACTATTCTTGTTTCTCAAAGAGCATTTAAAGACTGAGCTTGGGGTTCATTATTAAATAATAAAATAGGCACCAACTATGTTTACTAATACTTTCTAATCATTTGTAAAGTAAACCTGAGTAAACTTGTGATAGGAATGCTGTACGATTAGTTGAGTAGTCTGCTGGCAGCGAGTGAACTGAGGGAGGAGAGTGGAGACGAGCTCTCTCTCTCTGGCTGGTGTTTGTGGTGTCGAGATCTCCTCTGAGCTGCTCTGCAACCCTCTACCTTTTCTCCTCCTCCTTCCTTCCCTTACCTTGAATACCTGTAATACTAAGTTAAGTACGGTGTTGTTAAGTGTGCCTACTCTGGAAGTGAAAAATTTGTGTAGACCTGGGGTAGTATTTGCCAGTGTTTTGGGTACCCCTAAGAGTTGTGTTGTGTTAGGGTACCACGTGGTCTCACTACCCTAAGCTGCCTCAAGCTTCAAGTTCTTCACTAGTACTACTTTGCCCTAGCTTGTTCACAGTGTAAACCTTGTATCCTGCTTATGTGGACCAAGGGTTTTAACGTAAGATAGTGTGGTAAAGTAATTATTATTATTATTGTTATTTGTGTGAATGTATATAGGGGGTTGTTAAGGGGTTAATAAATTAGTAAGTTAGTTAAAGGAGTATCCATTCCTTCTGTGTAGGAGATTTATGATCAACCTCTAGACTGACATTGTGTAGCCAATTAATATTCACTGTGGATATTCCACGTGGGGACCGGGCCTTTTGGATCTCCCATATTTGATAACTCTTAATGCTAACTACTAGTGAAGTATACAACTTTAGAACTGGGAAAGGAAAGGTGGGAAAGTGTTCTAAAGTTGTATACTTCACTCTCGTGTTTAGGAGAGTTGTGCCTTAAGCATAGACACTGTGTCTTCCCATATTAACAGGGACTTGATGAAATAAACGTATAAATGACCCCTCACTTGCTCTAGTGCTCTTGGGAGGTGTTGATCTTTGGGGTATTTAAATACTCCGAAATTACCATCTCTTTTAAGGGTCTGAGCAGGTGGTGGAGCGGGTTAAGGCGTACCTGTTATGCCAGTTGCTAGAAGGCTTCTGTGCTGGCTAGGGTTCGAGTCTCCTGGTGGGAAAGTGTTCTAAAGTTGTATACTTCACTCTCGTGTTTAGGAGAGTTGTGCCTTAAGCATAGACACTGTGTCTTCCCATATTAACAGGGACTTGATGAAATAAACGTATAAATGACCCCTCACTTGCTCTAGTGCTCTTGGGAGGTGTTGATCTTTGGGGTATTTAAATACTCCGAAATTACCATCTCTTTTAAGGGTCTGAGCAGGTGGTGGAGCGGGTTAAGGCGTACCTGTTATGCCAGTTGCTAGAAGGCTTCTGTGCTGGCTAGGGTTCGAGTCTCCTGGTGGGAAAGTGTTCTAAAGTTGTATACTTCACTCTCGTGTTTAGGAGAGTTGTGCCTTAAGCATAGACACTGTGTCTTCCCATATTAACAGGGACTTGATGAAATAAACGTATAAATGACCCCTCACTTGCTCTAGTGCTCTTGGGAGGTGTTGATCTTTGGGGTATTTAAATACTCCGAAATTACCATCTCTTTTAAGGGGTCTGAGCAGGTGGTGGAGCGGGTTAAGGCGTACCTGTTATGCCAGTTGCTAGAAGGCTTCTGTGCTGGCTAGGGTTCGAGTCTCCTGGTGGGAAAGTGTTCTAAAGTTATATATATATATATATATATATATATATATATATATATATATATATATATATATATATATATATATATATATATATATATATATATATATATATATATGTCGTACCTAGAAGCCAGAACGCACTTCTCGGCCTACTATGAAAGGCCCAATTTGCCTAATAAGCCAAGTTTTCCTGAATTAATATATTTTCTCTAATTTTTTTCTTATGAAATGATAAAGCTACCCATTTCATTTTGTATGAGGTAAATTTTTTTTTATTGGAGTTAAAATTAACGTAGATATATGACCGAACCTAACCAACCCTACCTAACCTAACCTAACCTATCTTTATAGGTTAGGTTAGGATAGGTAGCCTAAAAAGTTAGGTTAGGTTAGGTAGTCGAAAAACAATTCATGAAAACTTGGCTTATTAGGCTAATCGGGCCTTGCATAGTAGGCTGAGAAGTGCGTTCTGGCTACTAGGTACGACATATATATATATATATATATATATATATATATATATATATGTCGTACATATATATATATATATATATATATATATATATATATATATATATATATATATATATATATATATATATATATATATATATGTCGTACCTAGTAGCCAGAACGCACTTCTCAGCATACTATGCAAAGCCCGATTTGCCTAATAGGCCGAGTGATTTTCTCTATTTATAATAAATTGTTTCCAATTGGCTTATTTGAATTATAATTGTTATATTATATTATGAACATATATTACTGACATAGTTATGTTAGTTTAGGTTAGGTTAAGATAGGTTAGGTTAGGTTAGCTTGGATAGGTTAGATTGGGTCATATATTTCCGTTAGTTTTAACTAAAAAAAAAATGAAATCATACATAATAAAATGGAGAGCTTTATCATTTCATAAGAACAAATAATAGAAAAATATATAAATTCAGGAAAACTTGGCTTATTAGGCAAATCGGGCCTTGCATAGTCGGCCGAGAAGTGCGCTCTGGCTACTAGGTACGATATATATATATATATATATATATATATATATATATATATATATATATATATATATATATATATATATATATATATATATATATATAAGCCTATACTTGCATAAACCACAAGTGAAGATAAACAATCTTTGGACAGCACCCACCAGTGGGACTCGAACCCAGAAAGCACAACTACCTTCCAGTAGCTGGCATAACTAGTATGCTTTAACCCACTACGCCATCAGACCTTACAAAAGAAGTAGATAGTTCGAGATATATATATCTCAAACATCTCTACCTCCCGAAGGCACCAGATGAGTGAGGGGTCAGTCTGCATTTTTCGTCAAGCCACTGTCAATGTGAGAGAACTCGTGTCCAGCTTATAAGCCTATACTTGCATAAACCACAAGTGAAGATAAACAATCTTTGGACAGCACCCACCAGTGGGACTCGAACCCAGAAAGCACAACTACCTTCCAGTAGCTGGCATAACTAGTATGCTTTAACCCACTACGCCATCAGACCTTACAAAAGAAGTAGATAGTTCGAGATATATATATCTCAAACATCTCTACCTCCCGAAGGCACCAGATGAGTGAGGGGTCAGTCTGCATTTTTCGTCAAGCCACTGTCAATGTGAGAGAACTCGTGTCCAGCTTATAAGCCTATACTTGTGGTTTATGCAAGTATAGGCTTATAAGCTGGACACGAGTTCTCTCACATTGACAGTGGCTTGACGAAAAATGCAGACTGACCCCTCACTCATCTGGTGCCTTCGGGAGGTAGAGATGTTTGAGATATATATATCTCGAACTATCTACTTCTTTTGTAAGGTCTGATGGCGTAGTGGGTTAAAGCATACTAGTTATGCCAGCTACTGGAAGGTAGTTGTGCTTTCTGGGTTCGAGTCCCACTGGTGGGTGCTGTCCAAAGATTGTTTATCTTCACTTGTGGTTTATGCAAGTATAGGCTTATAAGCTGGACACGAGTTCTCTCACATTGACAGTGGCTTGACGAAAAATGCAGACTGACCCCTCACTCATCTGGTGCCTTCGGGAGGTAGAGATGTTTGAGATATATATATCTCGAACTATCTACTTCTTTTGTAAGGTCTGATGGCGTAGTGGGTTAAAGCATACTAGTTATGCCAGCTACTGGAAGGTAGTTGTGCTTTCTGGGTTCGAGTCCCACTGGTGGGTGCTGTCCAAAGATTGTTTATCTTCACTTGTGGTTTATGCAAGTATAGGCTTATAAGCTGGACACGAGTTCTCTCACATTGACAGTGGCTTGAC